ACATTATTTAAATAATATTTTTTTGTTTCTTGAAAGGGGAATTTTTAAATGTTTGTTCTTAAATGAATAAGCAAAGAATACTGAATTAACAATTGTCGTTGTTACATGAAAATACTTTATTTATATCATGATTATATATTCCGTTTATGTAACAACTCTATCAATTATTCTTTATTTATATTTATTCAATGCTTTACTTGCCCAAAAAAAAAACTTTTATTCTTGATTTTTGAAATTACTAGTAGGTATTTTGCATACACAAAATTGTCACCGACAAAAATAGTCAAAACGTATCCCAATCACTTGGTTCATACAAGAACAAAAGACTAAAACAAGTAGAAAACATAAGAAATGATATAAAACAATCTCTTATTACATTTAAGAAAGACAAAGAAAATAATCCCTATTTGGACCCGTCTCAATCTAAATAAAATTTGCCTCACTTTAGATCGGCTTCATTGTGTTTCTCTAGAATCGAAAAAATAGGTCCTCTAATTTTGTTTAAATTTAACACCAAAAGTGTAATTAATCCCCGCCCTAAAATAGGAATAAAAGTTCTGCGTTCCAAAACCTCTTAGTTTCTCAGATACAGTTTTTCAAATGTGAAACCCTGATTACGGTAGATAGAGATAACCAATTGTTGATTTTCTATTGTTTTTAGAGGAGCAGAGAGAGAGCAGGGTTTGTCAAAACCACTGTATACAAAATTTTATCGTAACACATAGTGTTTTAAGCGACCTCAAACCTGCAGTATCCGAATTAGAAAATACAAATAGATAAAGCATACGGGACTTTCCTGTCTGTATGCCATCAGTGTATGAAATATTTTTTATTAAACTTTCGTTGGAGGTTATTGTTTCAAGATTTACTGATACTTTTGAAATGGCGGTAATATAAAGATTTTTATATCAAAAATCCGCTGTAGATTTCGAAATAATTGATTTTTCGCATAAGACAACTAAAATTATATATAAATAAATATATGTAAATAATTATAAAACAAGAGATAGCAGGTGACGCAGAACATGTGTTCTAGAAAAGGAAAAAAAAGGGAAAAAATGTCATTTTTCAAAGATATTAATGGTTAGGATGACTTCTGGGCGCCGCTGGAATTAATTATATTTATTTATACAGTTTTATATATGGTAGTGTTGGGAACTTCTGGTTAACAAAAAAATACACGTTATATAACGTTTTGCAATAAAGCTGAATATCCTACCGCGTGTCTATAGTTGTAATAAAATTTTTAAAATAGGACAGTTTAATTGCTTAAAGGAATTTTTGCCGTAATCAGATCGTCAGACTCGCGGTATCTTTCTTTTTATCGCCCGAGCATTATTTGGATTTTTTTCTCGCTGATAATAGGAATTACATAGCGCTCGAATTTCGGGTGCAAAACTTTATATATTCGACGCCCTGTATTAGAAATATATACGGAACATAGAAAGTCCCATGTAAGGCGCTCAAATATTGGCTCCCCTGTACATTTTACAGCAAGGTCGTAATATAACTTTTTGAAGGAGGCGGAGCTTGAATAAATTTCAGCCAATCTTCAGTTATTGAATTAAATATGATGGCAAAATTGCAAAAGGTCCATACAAGAATACATGCACATTTGGTTTCACACATTCAAAATGTATGTAGGTATGTCCTTATGTTTTTCCTAGGATCAAACTCATACTCGGTTCTAAAGACCTCCTTGTCCCTTAAAGCGTTCTTGGAATGAATTTAATTTAAAGGACGGTTTAAGCAACAAGAAAGCTTCAAGGAACAACTATAAATTTGGCCCTCAATCTTTTTTTAAAAACAATTCATAATTATAATAAAGATACGCCTACAAAACATTATTTTTTAAGTTAATGTTCAAACAACCCTCGATTAACAATTAAACAATATCCTAAGCGATCATAAAATTCATTTCTCGCATTGTTTAGTTGCTATTATAAAATCCTGTCACATTCTTATTAAATGGCGTTTTGTAACATTTTTATAAACAACACTTTTCAAATGATCCCACAGAAAGAAGTCGTTCGGTGAGAGGTCAGGTGACCTGAGTGGCCAGAGGATTCGGCACCTTGGGCCAATAATATTCCTGTTTAAAGTACTCGCTAACCATACGGGAACTATGGGTACTTCTGATCAATTCAGTTCAATTTCAATTTGTAGTAAGTCCAAATAGGTTTCTGCCTTGAAGTTATAGTCCATAAAAAATGGCCCTTTAATATGATGTCCGCAAATTCCCACCATAACATTTATTTTTTGGATATTCGCTTCGAGTTTATATATATATATATATATATATATATATATATATATATATATATATATATATATATATATATGATGACACTATATTCCGGGATATCATCCGTTCGCTCGTTGAACTCCGACTGGAATCCTGCAGACGTTTCGCCAAACGTCTGCAGGATTCCAGTCGGAGTTCAACGAGCGAACGGATGATATCCCGGAATATAGTGTCATCATATTTTTCCATCCGTGAATCAATACGTGAGAATATATATATATATATATATATATATATATATATATATATATATATATATATATATATATATATATATATATATATATATATATATATATATATATATATATATATATATATATATATATATATATATATATATATATATATATATGGTGTTGAGCATTATTTTAATTGTTTTCAGTTTTAAAATTGATCCTGTATACAAGGTTATAATTTAATTACTAATTTTCTCAAAATAAAGATATCAGTAGATACCAACTATGCATTATTTTCGCTATACTTTCAATGCTTTTTCTGTCAGCTGTGGCCGGAGTGACGGCGGAACTGCACGAAATTTAAAAGATATAAGTCATGTTAGATCAAATCCTGACATGTGCGGCATATACTGGTATATGCTACTTTAGGACTTAATGAATGTGAATGAACAATTTAATAAATACGTATTTTTTACGTTACCATTTTTAAATAGCTAAAAATAATATAAGTCTCTCAACACTGCCACTCTCGAAAAACACTAAATTACAACTAAAATTAAGGTGGTAAAAGCCAAATATTTAAGGACTTCCCCATTGACTCTCTACTACTTTTCCCTTTTATTGAAATTCCCAGAATAGGAATTTTGTTTTTACCTATTATGACCGGTTTTCAGGCGACTTAGACCACGGTGCGGGCGCTTCAAAAAGTTATACTACAACTTTCCTATAAAATGTACATTGAAGCCAATATCTGGCCACCTAAAAATTTACGTGGGATTATACCTATATAATATATAATATATACTAATGTTAACTTTGTGAAAACTAATTTAGTTTATTCTCGTTGATTTTCTTTTTCAAAAAAAAAAATGTATTCCAGCAAATTTCTTCATAATTTTCAGATTTTCATCAAATGTACTTGTCAAACTCCTCGTATAAGTGAGGCTCGAATCGAGATGCTCGTAAAAAGTTTTAATAGGAAATTTTCAATAATTGCCCACGCCGTGCGTATAAAATGACATCTGTTCGTTAAAAACGCTTCCTAGAAAACCGTTCCAATTTAACAAAACAATCGACCAGTTCGGGCGTGCGCCGCCAGACGTTCTGGCGCTGTGCTGTAGGAAAGTACGCTGCGCTTTTGTTTGAAATTCTATTTCTGAAATGGCGAATATCCGCTCGCCTCGCAACACAAATCGTTTTATCAATTCCAGGAGTATTTATATTTATTAATTAGAACATGACAAATGTCTGTTGATTTATCGCGGAATTACGTGTATTACGCTCACCTATGCGTATTAACACGTTCAAAAATAGAAGATTACTTTTTATGCTTACGGAAAACTTCGCGTACACCGCGAGAAACAAGTTACGTTCTGTTGGTTTTTCCTTGAAACTTTCGTCTTCGCCGTCATTATCTTCCATCGCAAAATACCAGACTGTCGACTTTCTTCGTCGTGGATATCAAATTTATTGGCCACTTTTAGTCTGACCACCCCTAATAACCCCTTTCAGCACGAGTGTTTCTCTATTATCAACGTATAGCACGTTGTAATCTTGACGTCTATTTCAAATTATCAGTACATTCAGATATTATATCCTTTTTCTTTAATGATTTTAGAGGACGTGACACCATGTGACTTGCTGTCTGAAAGACTTTCGACTAGTTTTCGGAAAACATTCATTGGTACAGCTTAGATCCAAATGAAAATCAACTTAGTTGTTGTGGCAGTTCTACTGCACTTGAACCTCCGTATTGATGGTCAAAGGGTCAAAAGGTTCCCATTTAGGGCCTTTGTTTTTTATCACCTACATTATTGATGTAACGAACGACCTGAAACTTTACAGAAAAAAAAATTGTACAAAGAAAATGTTAACCAAGATTTAAGCTACTTAAGAATACGTTAGAAACTCTTAATATTGGAGGATCGAAGAGCAGTCACTGATTCTTGCATAAAACTGGAAGACATTGGCAAGAATTTCATTTAATGCAGCATCTCGACAACTTAGAACCAAGCGTTTATTTATTATTCCCTTTGTTTTCGACCTGGATTTATTTACGATTTCCTTCCTTAAAATACACTCTGACCGTTTGACTATTGGATCGACATTGTCATACCACATAATAAATAAATATCTTTTTTTCCTTTTCTTATCTTTTGCCTTCTCTATAATACAATATATTGTTAGTTTTCTTTTCTGTGCCGCACTCAATTCATCGCATTTATTTATTTAATGTTGACCGTTTGGTGGTTCTTGAATATTGTTTGATATTTGACATGAACATGCATGGCGTCGGGTCGTATTTCCCAAATTTTATAAACCAAATATTTTCCAAAAATGCTGGACTGCTCTTTCATTTGTTTTGTTTGTTGTACTTCCTCTAAAAACAGGTGGGCTTCTTCTTCTCTACTGTCTCTCCTTTTGACTTTTGTGTACTTCGTTTTTTCTTCGTCTATTTTCTCATCGGTTTGTGTGTTTTTTTTTTAATTACTAAAGTTTTCATTATTTATATATTTAGATTAGAAATAAAATGTTTTCTGCAAAGGCAGCTTCTGTACGCAAGTTTCGAGTTTTGGAAACAGGCGACAACCTGCTGTTTCTGCAACAGAAATATACCGAGACATAGTACTTACATTGGTAATAGCGGATATCTTAAAAATCCGTGTTGTTGAGGGACTATTTGGTTTTATACATTAAATACGGTGTGATGTGGGAGGGATTCTAAAACTTTTCAAAAATTGCGGATAAGGAAAATATATACAGTCATTTTTGTAAACGGGAACAATTAACATATAGAAATTTACGTTTAATAGCTCATATTCACTTCATATTCGGAGATGTTCTTTTTGTTTATACTTTTGAATTATTAATACCATTAAAATGGTTGAAACAATCCATTTTAGAAAATGGCTGTCTGAAGTACAGTGCAAAAGATTTGACTATATCAGAATCCTTAAAATTCATACAGCTGAGTACAGCTGAGATTTCGATTTTGTTTTTAATAAACGACCAAAATATTTTAGGATTTTTTTAATGTCATACTCAGTTTTCAGTTTTTATAGGAGGGGCAGGATGAAAAAACATTCTCTGATATTCTTCTTAGATAAAATTGGCAGATATTGCCAAGAATTCCATTTCATGTCATTTGTTTTCTTTGTTGTACTTCCTCTAAAAACATGTGCTCTTCTTCTTCTCTACTGTCTCTCCTTTTGACTTTTGTGTACTTCGTTTTTTCTTCGTCGATTTTCTCATTGATTTTTGTTTTTTTTTTTTTAATTATGAAAGCTTAGCAAATTGGCAATAAAAAACAACAATGTTTCTGGAACTTCGGTAAGCAAGTTCGAGGAACAAGCAACATAAACATAACGTTAGTGTGTCGCACTCGGTGTGGACGTATCTAAAGCGAAAAATAAATCAGACTCTACACCGCGCAGCGTTCGAATTACAAATCCATTGTCGCCAATCGAAAAACAATTCGATTAAACCCAAACGCGTTTAACTATTGTCGTTAACGAGAAAAATGCGCCCGACTGACAACGACAAATTGTTTCCGAACGGTCACTGAGTGGCATGTTTTCGTTCCTAGAAATTCCCGAATTCTCTGGCAAACGTCTAACCCAAAAATAATACCGCGTGCGGGTGACTTTAACCGTTCCGTTCGTCCAGGTACCGTCGCATTAAATTGTTTATAACATCGGCCCGTTTCGTATAAACGGTTTATATGAGTTTGCAGCAATTACATCATCGCCGGGAACGTTTGCGGTAATTCCGTTTCCTAGTGTGTTTGTGCGCGCGTGAAAGCGATGACGGAACAATGAGCTGCTACAGCTTCGTCTCGAAATTGATCCACCGTCGCAAGATTCGCGCGGACATGACGCCCGACGATGCCGAACTCGTCGCCGGTTACAAGCGTTTGCTCGAGGAGAAGCTGATTGAGTTGAAACTTAAAGAGGAGACGATAAGTCAGCTGGAGAAGAAGCTGGAGGACCGCGAGGCGACGATCAAACACCTGCGTAACGAGATCGACAAGTTCAGGCAAGTGGTGACGCCGATCACTCAGAAGATCATCACCAAGCGGTTGAATTTCGACGACGGCAGAGGTAAGGAAGCGCTAGAGGACGATGACGCGGAAGTGCAGGTCGCGGAACGCAGGACCAAACGACAAGCCATCAGTGCCGAACCTCCTAGTCAAGTTTTAGATCTGCACATTAAGAAAATACCAAAATCGTCGCGGTGAGTCTCTACGGTACGGCGTTAGGACGTATATGTCGGCGCCATTAGATTTAAGTGGTCGATATTTTCCCATATTTCGTTTCGGGTAATTGGAATGTTTATTTTTGTCATTCGTAATATTGTGGATCCATGGGAACCAACTTTGGTACTTTCCGAAGTGAACGGAACGCGAACCGGTGAGATAGATGGCTTTATAAACGCACTGGTGAGTTCGGATAGTTTGTTTTTGATAGACTATTTTGTAGTTCATCGAGCGGGACGCGGATCGTTGGTTTCTCTTTCATAATCAATTAAGTGATTAGATTATTGATTTGTTTTAAGCATTGCGTAATGCATTCTGTTAATATTATTATTATTACAAAGAATAGAGTGCAGAGGAGAACCTATTATGCACATTGATAGTTGGTGCTCGTGCTATTTTTGTCTCTATATCAATTAAACATGTACCATCTTTAATTTTAAATCTAAATCTGCAACTTGTTGTCTACTTTTATTTGCGCTTTTGTATTATTATGTAATCTTTTTTAATTATTTTTCTCCAACGTTCATTCCTTTCATAGGTACACTAGGCACCACTAGGCACGTTTTGTGGCAGTGAAAAAGCAATTCGAACTATGGCAGTCGATCAAAAACGGTAACAGCTGATTTATTATAAGGCGTTCAAGAACTTTATATATAATACACACTGATAGGGCGGTAATTTGAAACATCGAGCTTATCACCCTTTTTATAAATCTGTGTTACATTTGCGGATAACCAGATAACTCAGAAAGAGTTTTCTCACGTCCTCTTGGTCAAAGTTACTTCTAATAAATCTAGATTTATAGGACCCTCATAGTGACGGTAGGTTAACTGGTTCAACAGCAAAGACACTAACAAAATATGAAGAAAATTCATTTGAAATGAAGTCCTGGTTATAGGACACCTCTCCCGAGGTATTTCGAATAGCAGGAATGGATACCTTAGACGATACGTGTGGGCCCATTGAGGAGGTTATTTTCGAATGCTAACTTCACCTCTCTAATCTCCAAGGATAAACTATTAGAAACTCTTCTGTGCAAAGCATAATCGGAAGCAAAGCCAGAGGCCTTAAATCTACGCCACAGAGCTGTTTTATGTGTTTCAATAAATGTCCAGTTAACCAAGGTTTTTCAGAAGTGTACTTAACAAAATGAGTTTTGGAGCTTCTATGTAATAATCCAGAGTAGATAGAAAATATGACCACGCATCATTAACGTCGTTATCAGGAAAGTTGTCCATGATGGTGGGAAGGGTCTGCAAGTAATCTTGCAAAATTTGTCCTGCATACCATTTTGCGATTATTGACCTGCAATCTGACAAAAAATCTAGGACCATGTATTCCATTAGGATCATTATCAGTATCGCTCGGCCTGTATACACAGGCGAGTGAAAAACAAAAAACAGAACTGGTAAATGACAAACAGCGTCCGACATCTGACCCATCATTAAATCTAAGAGCCTGTAAGTACCATCAATATGTCCGAGAAGTCTAAGAACCCCCCACCCCGGGATTTTATTTCGATTTTTTTTTATTTTTATTAGGTATATTATTTCGATTATTTCTTACGATCTCCGACATATATATTTCTTTGCAAATGATAAATAAGTATTAGCAAGTACAAATGTACAAATGCGTTACGGAAAATTGTTGACGACGATTATAAATAATAGCGGCTCATTTATCGTTGCGAGTGTGTGTCCGCCGTCTCGCTGGCTAAAATAATTGGTTTACCGGGAACTCGATTTGCATTTTGTTTTGAAGTACAAAGTCCGAGAATATGTAATTCCGCTTTTATACTTAGACGTCGTGTCGCTACATATGTTTTTTTTTTTATTATCTGCAATACCCCTTTACATATTTTAATGAAATTTGGCCTACGTCTACTATATAACAAGAGGCATTATTTAGCGTATGGTCTGTTCATAGATATAAGACAGTCACCAATTGCTTTTCAATGGGATTATCCAAAGGTGGTCATTAACATACAATGCAACAAGATTATTACCTAAAGTTTCGGAATTTAAATTCAGGTAAAATAAGGTATTTCGAAAATAATGTTATGCCAGTACTTCTCCAAGGCTTCCTGGAGACTTTTTGTCAAGTAAAAATACAAAGTATTTTATGGTATTTTAATATCTTGTTGTCTGCGTTATTAGATAAAATATGGGTTAAAAGGCTTTTCCGATAAAATAATTCAGTCAGTGTGATGGCATTTTGGTCCACAGCCTGCGAAAGTGACAATTTGGTGGAAGAAATATAATGGAATGAAGTAATTTATATTCAAATATATTACTAAACTTAGTGCCCTTTATATATTAGATCTAATTGGACATGAATAATAGTTGTGGCTCCTATAAAGTAAATATTGATTTTTTATCGGTTTTGTGCCACTATTAGCCACCTGATTTGTATTGGAGGTTTTGCTGGGCTGTATTTATTCACTCACAATAGTTCGAGTTAGAAGAGCTTTAGCTCGCTAATATAACACATTTTTAAAAATGGCAGAAACGAAATTGAAATTAGGTATGTCACAAATTAAAAGTTTTTATGTATGCTTTGTATTAAACAGCAAAAAAACAAAAAAAAAACAATATTTTACAATTTTTGCAATTACTTTAAAAAACAGTAAATATGCATACAAATATTTCCTTCCCTGTGTGATTGTTTACACTGAGACGTTCGGATTTGCCATTTGGATTTACTTGCTGTTTAATCCGAACTAACATTTCTTTCGCGACAATCTAAAAACTAAAAGAATTTATTAAGAATATCGATTTTTAAAGATAAGTCAAAACCCACATCACGTCTAGTTTTTGGCACATTTTCCTAACTCTTCTCTTTTTATTTCTATTTGCATTTCTGATGTTTCTTTTTGTAGCATTATTTCTTCATGCTGCCTCTTTGCCTGAATATTTTCTAATTCCTTGTCTATTTATTTTCGTAGGCTTGTAATAAATTAGCAGAAAAAGTAGCGGACGTGGAATATCATAATATTTAAAATGAATTAAAACAAAAAAATACGTACAACTTTTTAAGTATTAATTATTTTTCAAAATATTTTTTGTCAAATACCTCTAAAGGAATATTGTTAGACGCACTTTAATAATTCGGTGTATACGTTTGCGACGTAATTGTGTTCAAAATTATCTTGAACATCTATATTGCTATCACCATGACAGATATTATCTAGTCCAAATAGTTTTTTTTTGTTTATTAGATCTAAACTTAGATCCTTTAATGAATCGTTTGTAACTCCGAACCGCCGATTTCATGTTGGCTAATCAGTTTTCTTCTTGACCTTTGCTGCAAATGGTAGATTTCTGTTATGTTACCTGACTAAAATTTTCGTGGAAGCTGAGCTTCTAACAACCAATAAACTAAACAAAATTTGACTTTGCATCATAGTTTCAAGTTTTACCTACTGTTCAATGAGGCGCTTCGAGCAGGCCTGAATAGGAAGCTTGTCTTTATAAAACAAAGCATCTTTTGGTTGTTGATAATTTAAATTTCTAATCTTATTTGAATTTTCACTCACACATGCCTCAGATTTTGTTTCCAACATGAAACATCATGCATGTTCAAGCCAGCATCTGAATTCTTTATATTTCGTAATAAATGACCTTGATTTTTGAAAATACTTGACCATTTATCCAATCGCGTCATCGAAAATAACATTTGTATGATGAGGCGTGAATTCGTCATCTCGCGATTGGCTAACGATCGTAGTATTCACGCCTACTGGTTTTTCCTTTGACGAAACTAATTCCCGGTTTCGTTTCAGCTCGCGGGAGCTGATAAAGGCGGCTATTCTCGACAACGATTTTATGAAAAATTTGGAATTGACGCAGATCAGGGAGATCGTCGACTGCATGTACCCCGAGGAATACAAGGCGGGCAGTTTAATTATCAGGGAAGGAGACGTCGGCAGCACAGTCTACGTACTTGAGGGTGAGTCTCTTGAATATTCTTGAGCCTATGCATTTATCGACGTCGCTTGCCTCGACATCTAGCGGGCGAAGACTAAACTCGTGGTTTGTGCGGTAAAAGCTAGCTTTCTCTGGTACGTCCGGTTACCGGTAGATGGCAGCACCTATCGTTTTTACGCGCGTTCTGTGAAACATCGCATGTGGGCGACAAGAAATTGCGAAAATTTGATAGATTAAATGCGGTTTAGCAAATATTTTGTAGGAAAGATTTTTATGTTGGGAATGTTTTTTTTATATTTATTATCATATTTCAACCAAATTCGGTATATGGTCGTTTCCTATCCAGGTTCTCCTTTACGAGTTCGCCGTTTTTATACCCCACAGTTATTTTACATTCCAGTCCCCTACTCTCAGATCTATCCTCGATACTTGAAAGTATTAATAATTAATAATTTGTTGCATAGAATATTCCTGATCAACGTGGATTGGGAAAAACCTTGTTTTAACTTTAGAACTATTCGAAAGTTGTTTTTTGTTTTGTTGATTTTAAAAGCACTGTATCGACCGAAATCCTTCCGCAATAACGTGGTATGAGCGGCATTGAATCTAAAATATAGAAATTCGAAAATAAAGAGACCGGTCGGTATGACGCAACGTGTTTTTTTGGAAACTACGAGCTCATTCGCGCCGCTGCGGTTGCAATTTCTGCGAGTGAAAGTCCAATTCTAAAACCTACGTGCTTTATATGTTACGGAGTCATTTTGCAAAGAAAATATCAAGGTTAGTGAATAATAACGCGAGGGCCACTGGCCGCTTCCAATAGTTTTATAAATAGCTTACGTGCGACCGGTATATACAGGGTGAGTCTACTTCAATAGTGCGGTACAAAAATCGAATACGTAATTGCTTAAAACGTAGGCAGATTTTCCAAAACAATGAACTAATTATTTTGAAAATTGAGTTACATAAAAATATTTAATTGTTCTAAATATTTTGGTTAGTTCCATAAGCGGCGATGCTTTAATGCTGCGGGGTTGCCGCTTCTTCGAAAAAGTAGCATCGACATTGAAATTGTAAATGATGTGATTGTTTTTGAATATGTTCCTCTGCCTATCATCAACGGTTTTCGAGAAAATAATTATTTTTACTACTACCAAGGCAGTAGGAAGTTAAAATTTTGGACGTAGCTTAGGGAGGTATCAAAGATAATTTCTAAATGTTGAAATTGGTTCTACATTATACAGTTTCAAAAATGGTGAAAAGTGCATAGAATAGAACACCCTGTATATTATTACATATTCTAAGAGCAAGTTAAATTCCCTTTCGACTGATGCCTAAAATAGTTTGGTTTCTGATATAGGAGCAAGTTTCTTTGAACACTGGATTTAGTACTTATAAGAAATATATATAAATTAAATTCCTATGATCAATGGTTAATGGTGGGTCCATTTCCGTAATCTTACTCAAATTAAGTTTAAATTTGTTTTGCTTGTTATAAGAGAATAAAGCAAGTTTTGTAATTTACGATGAACTATTGAATGTTGCAAAATACCTTCAAATATTAAGAACATGACTTTATTGATAATCTTAGCCTTCAGGAATTTAGGACCTCTTGGTACCAATTAGATGGGGCACCGCCTCACTGCACTGAAGAGTTAATTAATAAATAAAGGTAAATTAAATCAAATAAATTATTTGACGACCATTGGTTTCGACGTTTTGGGGCGGTGGGATTGGCCAGCAAGATCGCCCGATCTCACGCGATTAGATTTTTTGGATTGTACGATACTTTGAGCAAATAGATCCATCGGAGATAAAAAGATACTTCAACTAATGTAAAAATTAGATTTATTTTCCTGTGGCCAATTGTTATTTTAAGTTAAGCTTAAGTTTAACAAATTTATTAAAAAAGCAGTAGTTTCCTTCCATTTTGAACAGATTTTGTCGCCAAAATTTGCACCGCAATCATTAATTAGTAAATCTTTATTGAACTGTCAAATGGAAAATGACTTATTTAACATAAGGAGCTTTCACGGCCACCTAAAAAATGAATTACTCCAAAGTAATCCAGCTTTCAGAGAAACTTGTTTTTATTTCAGAAACGAAAAGATTTAATTTAGTTTGCTCTTTCTATATTTGACAATATATAGGGTGTTTCATTTAAGACATACGCTGTTCACCATTTTGGTATATCATAGGCAATTGATTAGTTTTGACCAACCCTGTACGGTATAGAACCAAATTCGATATTCAGAAATAATGTACAGTACCTCCCTAAGCTACTTCCGGAATTTTAACTCTCCACTGGCTCCAGTGACGTAGCAATACGAATTTAATTGAAGCTATGTTTTGTTAAAAAAAAAAGAAAATAATTAATGTCTCGAAAATCACTAAATGTCGATATAGCAACGTATTATTCAAAAACAATCATAAAATATTAGCGGATCGGAATATTCACAAGAAATATTTCAATGAAGACTATTATTTTTATTACGAAAATGATGGTTATTGTTTTTGTCACAAATCGAAATTGCCAAACCACCGAAAACAATTTCGCCGAAACAAATTGAGCGTATAATGACGCCAACTGCGCAGCAGATACGAGAAAGTGTATTATTAGAAATCAAGAAATCGGGCGATTATTCATCGTAATTCTGCCTTTTAATATCTCAACTTTGTAAAACGGATAAATTGTTAAATAGAATGGCAATTACCAATAAAATAACACATGCATGCGCGCTTATGTAAGTTTTCAATGGCGCGGCATTTTTATTACCGCTCTAAATGGCGTTGCATTAAATTAAATGTCGGAATTAAGTCAATTGTTTTCGCCTCTCGGACTGGTATATTTCATAAATTAATAGTAATACAAAATAATACCATACTTTTTCCGAATAAAAGTAATATGAAACATAAAACGATTTTTTTACACAAAATAATTTACTGAGAAACTATACGAGCTTCAAATATTGAAAAACATCAACTAGAATCCGGTAGATTTTTGGGGAATGGGGAGGTTGAAACGAGAGAGAATCAAAGTTTGGATTCACGAAGTATTTATAATCTACGTGACGCACCAGGATTTCATTATTTCATTAGAACATTCCAAGCACCCTGTACAATATTCGAAAATGTCAAATACGGAAATTCTATATCTATAAATGCGTTTAAACAAATTTCTACGTTTGTAACCAACGGTGGTTCAATCTTGACTTATATTAATTTAATCCTGGAATAAGGCAATTTTCGATTTTTTGTCCATAATCATCAACGTTCATTTTTGAAAAAAAATCTGAATAATAGGATTTGTGGTCGATGCATTGCGTATTATCCAGTTGCAATACTCTTCCGATCAGTAAAACGGATATCGAAAAATAGATTGTTTCCATAAACCCAAAATAAATGTTCAAAAATAAGAAAAAATGCTTCCTAAAACCCCACTGCCTCTAGATACAGACCATCTGGGGACCCTCCTACCGAATTTTCAATAAGTGACTCGAAATTTCGAAAAATTTTCGAAAATCGTCTATAAAAGATGGCTTTGTGGACACCGTGGAGTGCGAGTATGTAAAAGGGGCCGAATATGAACCCCCTAACTCGTACGGTTTCACGGTTCTCGTGTATTTAAAAATCAGCCGACTGCGAATTGAAACTTTGGCAGAAACGATAAAAGGTTTCCCGACATATGGTGGAATAAACCTTTTCCAGAAACAAGTGCCTTTTTCGTCTGCTGTAACAGTCATATTAGGAGTTTCACCTCGGAATGAAAGATCATAAGCTATAAATTGGTATAAACCTTTGTTTTGTCGTTCTAAATGGTGTCTCATAAGTGACAAATGTTATCGTCTTAAAATATTGAAGGTCAAAGGTCATAAAAATCGGTTTTTCGCGAATATCTCGCTTTCTATTGCTTAAGTGAGATTTGCACCTATTATAAAAGTTGTAGAGTATAAAATTCTGTACAACTTTTGTTTGAACTTTTTTTTCATACGACTAACCGTTTTTGCGGTAGGAAGCGAAGAGTGTGCTGCGTCAAGGTCAAGCGTGTCAAAGGTTATCAGTACGTTCTATAAAGTTAATTATTTACCAAAAAAATGTCATTATTACACAATGCTTATGATTTATGTACTAATTATTAATTATTTAGATTTATTAAAAAGTAAGTGACTTAATTATTTATATTTAACTATAATATTTGAATAATTCTGGAACGTATATTTTAGTTATATTTTAAGTTGAAAATACAGTACGGGAATATGCATATACTTATTTATCATTAAATATATTATACATTTATTGAAATGTAAGTTCAAATATTTTAGAGAATTTTCGTTGATTTTAATTATAATAAACTTGTAAATGGAAGGTTCTTATCTTATCTTCTTCTTCGTCGTCTTCTTGTTGTCGCGCGACGATGTTCAATTCATTGTTATCATCCTCATTGTCAACAATTTCAAACTAACGAATAATCTTGACTAATACAAAGGGGTCCCTTAAAAGAGAAAGTGGCCTCGAATATAACAGAACATCTGTCTCGGCTATAAATAGGTCATATAGTAGGGACAAGTATTTGAAGGTATATAAGTATTAAAAAAGTTACACGTTTTAAAGAAAACGTATATAATGTCCTTTTAACTTAAAATATAACTAAAACATACATTCCAGAATTATTAATTTACTATAGCTAAATAGTTAAATATAAATAATTAAATATAAATAATTAAGTCGCTTATTTTTTATTAAATATATATATATATATATATATATATATATATATATATATATATATATATATATATATATATATATATATATATATATATATATATATATATATATATATATATATATATATATATATATATAATTAATTAAGTCACTTATTTTTTATTAAATATAAAAAAATAATAAATCGTACATAAATAATGAGCATTCTTTAATAATTATAATTTTTTAGTAAATAATTAACTATCAGTGTAAACAAAACCTGTATATGACTATATAAAATATAACTAAAATATA